AGAAAATATTACTCACATAATCATCACGTAAATTACAGATTTCCCAAAAATCACTTACGGTGTATCTTCGTGGAAGCTCTGAATAAAATCTGTCTGCATAGTTTCAGGGTAAAGAATCATAACAGGCCAGATTAATCTCTGTCTTTTATCGAGTTTTACTCTATGCTGAGCTAATTGGGGAATCTGTGGCTCCAAGTCTTTCAATTCATAAGATTTATGACCATTTGACAGATCTATGTTGATACCCCTCTGTTTAATTGCCTCTATCAACGTATCCTCTTCTTTCTCTTCCTTTTTCTCTTTCATTTCCTTCAATCTCATTTCTCTCTGCTGCTTTTTCTGTTAAAAAAAATACAAAGAAATTTATCAGTCCATTCCATTTCAATGCAAATTATATGATTATGATATGCTAAAATGATTTGGCAATTTAAATTTTCACAAATATTTAGAGAATACAAGAGCTTTAAATCGCTCTACCTCTCTACCTCTTATGATTAAACAAAAATGTTGTCGGCAGTTAAAAGATTAAGTAAATGAATAGATATTTTGGTATTTACCCTTTCTAGAGTAGCATTTTTAAGTATTTTAGATAGTTCACTGTTGAATTCGTGCTCAGTAAGGTAAATATTACAAAGTTCAATGCAGTCCTCAAAGTTTTTCGTTAAATAACAGCACATTGCGGCTCTACTCAAAGCTTTAGGATAATTTGTCTGGAGTTTCAATGCCATTTTACAATCATTCAAGCAGGATCGATAATTTTTCAACATGAAGTGAGAAGCCGCTCGGTTATTGTACAACTGAGCTCTAAGACTTTCGTCTTTACATTTAGTTTTTATTCCTTCTGTGTAACTTAGAATTGCCAGCCGGTAATTTCTATGTTTGTAGTTGAAATTTCCATCTTCTTTGTAATTAGCTGCCAATTCTGTTGACAAAATTAAAGAATAGTAATGAACAGCTTTTAATAAGGATAAGAAATTGTCAAATTATATTTCAAAATTAGATAGAGCAACTTTTTGCCTGCAGACAGTCTGTATGAAGATATTCAACAAAAAACATCGGCAAAATCGATCATTCATTCACTAGTATCGACTTTGTCATTTATAGACAACACCTAATGGTTTTTCTGGCGTGCTACATTCTGATGAAATTGTTCTTTGTCATTTTACCCTAGTATCAGTTACTTTCTGATTTAAACTGATTCATAGTTAATAAAGTTGCCTAAATTTTAGAAATTTTATAAGAATTTCATTTATGGAGGACACAAAATTCTCCATGAACCCAGTCATTTTTAATCAAACTACTGTACTTTGATGGAATTTTTAAAACAGACCTTCAGGTGTGTTGTCGTCCTCTCCATATTTGAGTTGCTGCAGTCCCTCCATCAAGGGTGAGATTTCATCTCCAGGTTCCGGTGGCTTCTGCATGAAAAATGGGTGTTTTTCCATTTCTTCTTGCCACCGATCCTCTGACCAGCCCTCATCGTACGATTTCTTTTCCAAACTATTTATGTATTCATCTAATTCAGCATCCAGCTTTGCTGCTAGTTTGAGACGTTCAGCATCTGTCCAGTCTTTTTTCTCTAAGTTTCCTGATTCTGCTGACATCTTTTGTCATTACAGCCCCCAAAAATACAGAAATTGTTACACGAAATTTTATAATTGACTTTAATAGATCCATTTTTCCTTAAAACTACTATACAATTAATAGAAAAATTATACAATCACTAACGTAACCTAAAATTATAGATCGACTTTTATTAAATTTATTCTATTTGTTTTCGAGAAGAAATTAATTTGAACGTTAAACATATTGTGGTTGACAAAAATTGTTTCAAAGAAATTTATAAGCCTGTATGAATCGCTTAATTATTATTAATTATTAAGTACCTCGAGGACCGCTTTCTGTGCCAATAGAATAACGTTAGGCAGGGGTTATGTTTACGATATAATCATATTGAATTACACCAATCACACTCGGTTATATAGACCAGCCCCCTCTCAACAAATACGTAAAACTCAATCGACGTCATTTAATGAGACATCTAATTTCATTTCAAACCTTGCCTTTCAATAATGACATCACAGTACATTCAATTTAATTTTGCATGTACATTCTTGCCAATTTATTGGGAGACTGTACGATTTTTGCAATGTTGTAATAAACAAATTCATATACTTGTAATGAGGCGCCCAATCAGCTGATAGCCCCCGCCGCCCTTATAATAATTTTTTCAATTTACACTAGAGGGCGAAAAGTTTCATTCCAAATTTTGTTACATATATGATAAAATGAATAAAATTGTCTGATTTATAAATAAAAATAATAATTGGGTAAGAAGTGATAATATTCTATTAGTGATTCAAATGAAAATTTGTATGCAATACAATTTTTTCAAAAATTTTTGTTCGATATCTCCAGTCGCCTTAGGGTGGTGCCTTTTTAAAACATTAATTTTTATTCAAATCAGAAGTACAAAATATAATTATCATAACATTATTCATAGTAGGTGAAAAATCAATATCAATATCAATATCAATTTTAAATTATCTCAGCTCTGGAAATGTGTTGTGTATTAAGTTTGTAGTGTTTACAGAAGGTTATTTACTTGT